TGATTAATCAGCCGATTAATCTGAATCTAAAGCTGTGTCTACACCAAGAGAACCCATTACGGGAAGTGGCGCGAGGCGACAAATCTTCTACAGTTACTGATGCCGCCTCCTATCCCGAATCTTTGAAACATGCGTTGTATGCGTTGAAAGTGATACCTAGAAAAACAGCGCGCATAAGAAAGCGATTGCAGGCTTTTGGGAGCTTCAGCAAATGCACTCGATCACAGATTGCATGCTTCCCAGCCGAAACAAACCCCCACGTGAAACTGAAATAATAACCTGTGATATAAGATTTTGGCCATATTGCCGAGATGGTCCTCACTGCAGAACACAAGATCCAGGGGGCGAGGTTGGTCCCCTAAACCTACCCGTCTCCTCCCCTAAACCTACCATCTCCACCCCCTAGATGTGGATCCAACCCCGCCCCCTGGATCTTTGTTCTGCAGTGAGGGGGCTACTGATATTGCTCATCTAAATCATTCATCCCACACGATCAACAGGCACGTCATGTAGGCTTATACTTCTTGTACTTCGTTTGGGGACCACAAGGTGTCAGTGTGGCCTCAAAGCTTACCCCTCACCTACTCTGGCTCGATTGCTATTCCTGAGGTAAACACGCCCTCCTCATTACCCTATGGACAAAGAAATGTATAAATAAATGTGGAAATAAATAAATGTATAAATAAATAAAAGAAAAAATTTGGAAAAAAATGAAAAAAATAAGGAAATAAAATAATAATTTATTATTTTTGCTTTTTTACTTTGTATATTTATTTATTTATTTATATTTGGTTTTTTACATTAATTTGTACATTTCTTTATTTCTAATTAAGTCAGCTTTGGCATTCCGTAAGTAATATGCATGCTAGTTAATAGTGAGAATTGGTCCTTAAAATAAATCACCTCAGATTCTAAAACTGCATTTTTAATTGGAGCGCAAGTTTATCCAAAAATATACTAGAGATATTTAATCAAGTCTTTAGCCATTTAGCTCTTGAAGAGATCAGAAGAGCCGGTCAGCGAAACTCTGGAGCTGTTCAGTCACTGTTGGAAGAAAAGAAAAAAAAACTCTTACAATAACGATATGTGCTTTTGACAACTCTTGAAATAGGGAATAAGGGGTCAGGCCCAGGGTACATCACTTCCCATTAACTTGTGGTTAGACCTTTAACCCATGGAAGGACGTCATTCAGAGCGCATGGAGTAAAGAAGGGCAAAAAAATAAAAATCTTGTCGAATTTTGAGATACCACCAGTAATTTGGTAGAGATGGTGGAGTGACAGGTTTTAATGTGTGTGTAAGAGAGAGTGAGTATATTAAAATCTTTGAAAGGAAATAGGAAAGCATGGTAGATTTAATGAGGGGCCACTGTTTAGTCACGGTTCCTGCTTAGTGCACACTCCTCTCAACCCTGTCTTATGACACACTGACCCTTTAACCCCTGTATCAGGTAGTCAAGCTGGTTGATGCAGCCGGCCCAACTTCAGAGGTGCATTCAGTATTTTTTTGCTTAAAATTTTACAGAAAGAAATAAACATCAATTTTGATAAATATAATTAAAATGATTTAGACTCGCATGAGACAAAGACTAAAAGCTGTTTTATTCTACATAGAGTGGATTTGGTGCCATGTTGACATCACGTTAACCAAAAAGAGCAATGTAAAGATAATGCAAATGTAAAGATTCTGTGTGAACTGACAGGACTTACTACCAGGGTTATTGTGAACTAAAATTAAAACCATACAAATTTACTTGAAAAAGCTTAAAAATTACTTGAAATAAAATAAAATATAAAAAGTTGCCAATGCAAAATTGATCATTTTCATTGGTGTCTTAAAATAACTCAAATTAAAATGTACAGACACATTGAAAAATGAAAACAAATGACTAAAAATTGTCTAAAACTAAAATGAAAACAGAAAATATAAGGCTTTTTTGCTGGCTTATAAAAAAATTATAATAAGAAAACCTTTTTTTAAAAGTCACGCCAAATATAGGCCAAGAATATTACGTACAGAATACTACAAATCCCAGACGAAAATACTAGTAGTTGCTAATTTCTTGCTTTATTTATTTTAAGATACATATGTGCATATCTGATGCATTTTCTGCCTTTCTTTTACCTCTAATTTTTAGATCTATGCCCAGTATGAGTCAAACAGAGCTGGATTCATCGAGTTGGCGGTGCAAACCTACGAACAGACCAAAGCCCTGAGCTCTTTTTAAATACATTAAAGTGTAAAGCAATAGAAAACAGACCATGATTATGAATGGAAGTATGCCATATAGTTCAAATGTTGATGTCAAGTTTTGAAATGTGTACTCATTCTGTACATAATAAAGAATATTTTGTATAAAAGGTCTGTTTCTTTATTTAAATATTAACTCTTCACCATTCTTTTCCCAAGTGTACCAAATGTACTAGATTTGTAACATTTAATGTTGATAGGAACTCATTAATAGAATGGACATTTTCAATGCTTTAGCTTTTTTTTGTTTTTTCGATTGCAGACTTTTTCTGCTGCCATTGTTTTCCTTGGATTTGGTTCTCAGTTCCGGACAATTTTAAGCTTTTCTTGGTTCATTCCACGTTTATAGGCAACCTCTGTCATGCTAATTCAGATCAGCACAGTTGGTTTTACATTTTTCTAGTTTATTTTAGTTCAGGACTCCATAGTGTTAATAAGCTGTACTTAAAGGGATAGATCACCCAAAAATGAAAATTCCGTCATCATTTACTCACCTTCATGTCGTTCCAAACCTGTATGAGTTGCTTTCTTATGTTGAACACAAAAGAAGATATTTTGAAGATTGCTGGTAAACAAACAGTTGGTGGTTGCCATTGACTTCCATAATAGGAAAAAAAATACTATGGAAGTCAATGGCAACCACCAACTGTTTGATTACCAGCAATCTTCAAAATATCTTCTTTTGTGTTCAACATAAGAAAGCAACTCATACGGGTTTGGAACGACGTGAGGGTGAGTAAATGATGACAGAATTTTCATTTTTGGGTGAACTATCCCTTTAAATGTGCTGTATGTAGGATTGACTCCGAGTGGTTGAACTAGGTATTTCAGTCCAAATTCAAAATATTGGAGAGGGGTTTTTTCACCAGGCCCCTCCTCCTCAGACTTGACGCACAAGCAGGTTGCCAGATTGAGACACCAATTGGAAAGCCGTTTTTAAACCATGATTAATTATTCTAGATTAATACCTGCTCCTGGATTAATTTCCAGGAACATAAATAAAAATTAAATGATAAGCTACTACTAAATATTGTAGAAACAAGTTGCTTTGCAGCGATTTGTATGGTGAAAAGCGCTATACAAATAAACTTGAATTGAATTGAATTAATTTAAGCCCTGTCCGGGAAACCGCCCCTTATTGTTGCCTCTGCACTTGTTATAGGAGAGATTATTTTTCATGTTAAAAATGCTTTTGTTGAATGAAGTGAGTTCTCTGTCAGTCAGCAAATGACTAATTCCTGAAGTTGTCATTGATGGAAACAGTCTCATAGTCTAGCTCAAAATTACTCAGAATTGGGCAAAGCCTCTTAAATGTAGACAGAAAACAAAATTTTACAGTTTCTTCATAAAATCTAAAGGCAGCTGTTTATTTCATTCATAAATACCCATTACCAGTGAGTTCTCTGTCAGTCAGCAAATGACTAATTCCTGAAGTTGTCATTGATGGAAACAGTCTCATAGTCTAGCTCAAAATTACTGTAGAATTGGGCAAAGCCTCTTAAATGTAGACAGAAAACAAAATTTTACAGTTTCTTCATAAAATCTAAAGGCAGCTGTTTATTTCATTCATAAATACCCATTACAAAGTGTGATATTATAAACGCTATGATTGCAAACTAACGTCTTAGGTTTTTACTGAACTGAAGCTAACTAACATTGTATCAGGAACATAATGGCTTTGGGTTACATGTATCTTTTTTTTCTATTTACCTACTATTAGTACTATGAGTGATGAGAGGACCCCCTGCTCTGCACATTTTGCATATCTCCTTTTTTAACACACCTGATTCAGATCATCAGCTTGTTAGTAGAGACTGCAAGACTGATAATGGAGACAAACAAGATGTGCAGGTCTGGGGGGTCCTCAAGGACAGGTTTGAAAACCCCTGACATAACACATTGACTGTCTGGGTGCTAATCTTTGGAATGAGCTATATTTGGAGTCTTCAACAACAACACAAAATCACTGATTTATAATGAAAAAATATATATAAAATTGGCTACAGATGTGATTCATTTTACAGCACTGAACAGCACATTCATTTGAGTGGTATTCACAAATGATGAGTGACGGTCGTAGCACTCTAAAAGAGATTCGATCAGAGATGCTCTTATTATCGGGAGACAGCAAGGTCCACAGCTCTGCCTTTAGAGAAAGCATTACGGCCAACTTGGATCACATGTGCCTTGATGACCAATCATATTATAGTCTTGACGTCGTTGAATTTCTGTCAGAGTTGTGCGACAGTCAATGGCAGTTTACGGATACCATAAAAATGAATGAGAGGTGCCGTAAACGGAATTCTACCTGTCGCAAAATTGTCAATGGCTTCTCATATAAAATAGCATTGTTGTTCTGTGTAAACTCAAAACAGATCAATCCAAACAAATGTTTAATGGCAAAAATGTTAGCCGACATGCTGTTGATTCATGAAACGATAAGCTGTTTTCCCAGAAAAAAATTAAGTCTGGGTTACTATGTGTATGGTTTAGGTGCATGTGATTCGAGTCTGCTGTCCCCAATGTTGCCATCTCCTCTGTTAATAATGTTATCTCTGTGTTCCTTAAAGAGCCACCGTACGTCAGAGGAAAACATGGTGATGACTTTAAAAATAAACGCTGCATAATAAAACAACCCTATTTAAAGACGCTTAAACATATAAACCACATTTTTGAAGTGATTTTTGTGATAGTCCTAATAAACAGGTCTCTTCCTCTGTGAATTTGAATATATTGGTCGAAGGGCACCAATGGCGTATGCGTTGAGCTCTGCGTTCAGAAGTAAGTCACATAGTTTGATCATCTAGCTGCATGTGTTCACATAGCTAAGAATAAAACATATAAGTTGTGTGCGTTTTTTAAAAACCCTTTGATTCTAATGACAGTTTGAGGTTGTAATGGCAACATGTTGACTGTCTCACTGCAGCACACACACGGTACTGGGTTCAGTTCAGTTAACTGGGTGAAAGGTCACATACGCAATGCTATGTAATTTCTCTCTTTAAGTGTAGAATTAATTACATTTATATTATGGACAAATCAAACAATATAGCATGCCGTCGTAATTGCCAGTTGGAAACTGTGTATAAATAAAGAATATAATAATGCATAAATTGTGCAGATATGTCATCATATTATTTACGATTAATATTTGGACATGTAAATCATAGCCTACATTTTTGTCATCACCAGTGCTGGGGGTAACGCATTACAAGTAACGCGAGTTACGTAATCAGATTACTTTTTTCAAGTAACTAGTAAAGTAACGCATTACTTTTTAATTTACAAGAGAATATCTGAGTTACTTTTTATATATATATTTGTGATCATTTAAACATATTTCATATTGTTCAATATTTAATAATATTCATAATACATTAAAATGTCTTAGGATAGTGTAACCAGATTAATAAATGCTGTAAAAGTATTGTTTGTTGTTAGTTCATATTACTTAATATTCTGTGTAATGCTTATTGAAAAGGGTTACCTTAATATCAATAACCTTATAACTGTTTAACCTTTGACCTACAAGTCAAAAGTTTGGAATAATTACGTTATGTTTCTGAATGAAGTCCTTTTTGATGTATTATTACAGGATTTATAATGTTTGTTTTCTATTTTACTATATTTTATTTTCAAATGTAATTTATTCCTGTCATGCAAAGCTGATTGTTTAGCAGCCATTACATCAGTCTTCAGGGTCACATGATCCTTCGGAAATCATTCTAATATGCTGATTTGGTGTTCAATTGTTATCAATTATTATTGCCGCTCAGTTATTAATAATGGTTGTTCAGTGTTCAAAACAGTTTTTGCTGCTTAAAACCGCAATGTTTTTCTTTCTTTCTTTCTGCAATAGATTCTGTGTTCAATGAAAGCATTTGAAACAGAACTCTTTTGTAACAATATAAATGTAATTTTTAATCAGTTTAATGCATCTTTGCTGATTAAAATGATTAGTTTCTTCTTTTGAATGGTTTAAAAAAAGCAGCAAAAACTGGTTTCAACATTGATAATGTTTTGACAACTGGTTACTGAATAGAACATTCTTCATTTTGACCAAATAGACTGTGTTGTGGTCATCTAATTTATCAAGTAACAATAACTAGATTTTTAATCTTCAGAATTTTGCTTGCCCATGCAATACTCAATGCCACAGTATACATGTAGGTGATTGACCTTGCCTTTTTTTTTTTACACCTAATTTATCCATCAGATGTAAATCTGAATTATGCAGTGCAAGGTATAATACATATCCATAGCACAAATGCTGCGGTAGTTTTAATGCTTAGGGTTAGGGGTTTATTGAAATAATTTAATATGAACAATAGTTATAATAATGCTTGCCTTAGCATACACATCTATCCCTCTTTTAATGTACAGTGGGTACGGAAAGTATTCAGACCCCCTTAAATTGTTCACTCTTTGTTATATTGCAGCCATTTGCTAAAATCATTTAAGTTAATTTTTTTCCTCATTAATGTACACACAGCACCCCATATTGACAGAAAAACACAGAATTGTTGACATTTTTGCAGATTTATTAAAAAAGAAAACTGAAATATCACATGGCCCTAAGTATTCAGACCCTTTGCCGTGACACTCATATATTTAACTCAGGTGCTGTGAGAAAGGCATTTGTGAAGATACCTAGATTGCACACTTATATATTATATGCTATATATAAATGTAATAATCTGTGTACAGGTATTGATCTCATGAGCATGGCCAGTGATATTCTTCAGCCGGAAGGTGATGACACAGCCAGGATCTCATGGAACCTGCGTCGCGTCATAACTCAATACCAAGAGACCTTCTCTGTTATTGAAAAGGTTACTATTTTAAAGCATCATTCTGTGAAAGCATATGAATATATAGATAATTATTAAATTTAAAAAATGAGATCTAGGTGGTTTGGTAAATATAAGGGAACATTCATGCACAATTATGCATTTGAGAACTGTGAAAGGCATGGCATGAGGATGTTAAGATTTTATGTTGAACTTTATCTTTGGCTTTACCAATCAGTCCATTCCAAGATATGGATTTAGAAGTCTAAATGGCAAACTTTGTCTCATGCACAAATCATATGCTTCATCAGTGTCCAAAACCAGTGATTGTGGCCATTCATGGAGCATGCATAGGAGCAGGTTAGTTTTCCTGTGTAAAGGTTGCCAAAACATTTTATACTTTTTTATACAATTTAAAAAACATTTATATTCTGTTTATAGTACAGATAAGTTTAATTCTGTTTATTTTAGAGTGCTTTTCACAATACATATTGTTCTAAAAAAATAATGGATAACAAACTCTGTGGTGGGTGAAAAAATTAATATTCAGCTGGATAAATGTTATCATTCATTTGTGTCTTCTTATACAGGCGTAGACTTAATCACAGCGTGTGATATACGACTGTGCACGCAGGATGCCTGGTTTCAGGTCAAGGTGTGTGCATTTTTATTAGAATGTTGTTGTGATTTTAATCATCAGTTCTATAAAGCTCATTGTAGTCCCACCTTGAACCCCTGCGCTTTTATTTGTTTAATACCATTTTAGAATAACTTAGATTTGCATTGATTCAAATTTGAATGCCTGAATCGATCACTCTTCTGCTCTTCGATCACCTCCTGTTCAGGAGGTTGACATTGGTTTGGCAGCTGATGTCGGGACTTTGCAGCGTCTCCCCAGTGTGATTGGAAGTCGAAGGTACTTGCTAGCAGATCCAGTAGCAGTGCCCTGTGTTTATACAATTCATTGTAAATTTTTCTTCTAATGTCTTTCAGTCTAGTGAATGAGTTGGCATTCACTGCAAGAAAGATGTACGCTGATGAAGCCAAGAGCTGTGGACTGGTCAGGTGAGATATTTAGACATGAGCTGATATGCTTTTATATATATATATAATATACTGTACCAGCTGTTTTCACAACATAGAACAGCTTCATATTTTTATTATACATTTTAGTAAACGTGTGTGTGTGTTTTTTTTCTCTTTTGTTGCACACAGTCGTGTTTTCCCGGATAAAGAGACTATGATGGCCGGAGCTCTGGAGATGGCAGGAGATATTTCTAGGAAAAGCCCTGTAGCAGTCCAGGGAACTAAAATCAATCTAATTTACTCAAGAGACCACAGTGTTCCAGAGGCCCTGAATTACATAGTAAGAGCTGAACTGAGTAAAGTAAAACGACATAAATTGACAAAGTGACAAGTATAATAATAATAATAACAAAAAACACACACAGATTCAGCTGGGATATGGGAATTAAAATAACACCAACACAAAAGCAATGAAAGGCAGGTTGCGCATTTACGTGATGGGTTGCTAAGAGAGAGTGAAGATACAGACAAACTTAATCAAATTAAAATAATGCTTAGTTAAAACCTTTAAAAAAACTTAACAGTACATCCATTTGAAGTCAGACCTTTGAAATACACCAAAGACAAACAAGGGATTAATCAGTATTTGTGTCTGTCTTTGTGTAGGGTAGTGTTTCGTAACAATATGTGTGAAAAATTCACATATTTACATGCACTAAAACTATCAAAGCACTTCATAGAGTACATGTTTCAAATGAACCCTTTCTTCCATAACACCAGTTTGTCACTCACAAAACAATGACCCAAAAACACTGGCAACAGGTGGCATTATACACTGCATCCTTTTGTAAAATTTCTTTACAAAACAAGGACAGCTCTTTACTGTTTAGAAATGGTAATGAAATTGAAAGATTAACACCTGTGTAGGTGTTCAGCTACATCTTAATTGTTTCATTAAGTATATTTGGAATATATTCAGTTACTGTACAAATGTAGCAGATTGCGGTCTTATTCAGTTTTGTAATATCTTGTTTAGGTTTGGGTTTTGTTATTAAATCTCCTTAAAGGTGCAATGTGTAATATTTACATCGATCTATTGACAGAAATGCAATATAATATAAATAACGTTAACTATGATTTCAGAGGTGTATAAAGACCTTAGTTAATGAACCGTTATGTTTTTATTACCTTAGATTGAGCAATTTATATCTACATACACCGCGGGTCCCCTTACATGGAAGTCGCCGCCATGTTTCTACAGTAGCCCTAAACGGACAAACTGCTCTACACAGCGCGTTTCGTCACTTTGTTGTTCTTGTGAATAAAACACTGACACAATGACGAACAAGTACATTCATATTCGCAATAACATCGATTTATTAAATAATTAAGTAAATATAATTTCTTAATTTACCTTAGTAAAGAAATCTCATTGCTCTCTGCTGTCTTTACCGGCGACATCTTAGTCACCGTAGCTTCTCTAAAGAGAGGGGTGAGCTCATTCGCAACCTCACCGCTAGATGCTGCTAAAATTTACACACTACACCTTTAAATAGGTAAATTAGCTTCCTCTAGAAAGAGTGCTGTTGTTGCAACCCAGCCAGTTCCGCAGTGTTTTGCAAACTAATAAAAAGTGTCAACCACCTCCTTTTTCATAAGGTAATCAAATCATAATTTATTTTTAATGGTAAACAAACTTATTTATTACTTTTTCATTTAAAACATCAATTAAAATCACAAAAAAAGATCAAACAAGTGTAATAAATATAGGCTAACAGTAGAATGAATAAAAACGAAGCAGAAAGTGTGTGTTAGACACTCTTACAACTGTAGAAGTGTATACAGTATACTCCTATTTTTTATTATTTATTATTAATATTATTTATTTTTTTATTAGTCCAGCAGTACAAGTAGTACAACCCTTCCCATGTGGACAGCCATTATATTTGTTTTGTTTGGTTTTTTGTTTTGTTTTTGTTTTTGTTTTTGTTTTGTTTTGTTTTGTTTTGTTTTGTTTTGTTTTGTTTTGTTTTGTTTTGTTTTGTTTTGTTTTGTTTTGTTTTGTTTTGTTTTGTTTTGTTTTGTTTTGTTTTGTTTTGTTTTGTTTTGTTTTGTTTTGTTTTGTTTTGTTTTGTTTTGTTTTGTTTTGTTTTGTTTTGTTTTGTTTTGTTTTGTGTTTCGTCACTTTGTTGTTCTTGTGAATAAAACACTGACACAATGACGAACAAGTACATTCATATTCGCAATAACATCGATTTATTAAATAATTAAGTAAATATAATTTCTTAATTTACCTTAGTAAAGAAATCTCATTGCTCTCTGCTGTCTTTACCGGCGACATCTTAGTCACCGTAGCTTCTCTAAAGAGAGGGGTGAGCTCATTCGCAACCTCACCGCTAGATGCCGCTAAAATTTACACACTACACCTTTAAATAGGTAAATTAGCTTCCTCTAGAAAGAGTGCTGTTGTTGCAACCCAGCCAGTTCCGCAGTGTTTTGCAAACTAATAAAAAGTGTCAACCACCTCCTTTTTCATAAGGTAATCAAATCATAATTTATTTTTAATGGTAAACAAACTTATTTATTACTTTTTCATTTAAAACATCAATTAAAATCACAAAAAAAGATCAAACAAGTGCAATAAATATAGGCTAACAGTAGAATGAATAAAAACGAAGCAGAAAGTGTGTGTTAGACACTCTTACAACTGTAGAAGTGTATACAGTATACTCCTATTTTTTATTATTTATTATTAATATTATTTATTTTTTTATTAGTCCAGCAGTACAAGTAGTACAACCCTTCCCATGTGGACAGCCATTATATTTGTTTTGTTTGGTTTTTTGTTTTGTTTTTGTTTTTGTTTTTGTTTTGTTTTGTTTTGTTTTGTTAACAAGTGCAATAAATATAGGCTAACAGTAGAATGAATAAAAACGAAGCAGAAAGTGTGTGTTAGACACTCTTACAACTGTAGAAGTGTATACAGTATACTCCTATTTTTTATTATTTATTATTAATATTATTTTTTTTTTATTAGTCCAGCAGTACAAGTAGTACAACCCTTCCCATGTGGACAGCCATTATATTTGTTTTGTTTGGTTTTTTGTTTTGTTTTTGTTTTTGTTTTTGTTTTGTTTTGTTTTGTTTTGTTTTTTGTTTTTTGTTTTGTTTTGTTTTGTTTTGTTTTGTTTTGTTTTGTTTTGTTTTGTTTTGTTTTGTTTTTTGTTTTGTTTTGTTTTGGTTTTGATGTAAGTGAAAAGTTTTTAGATCTTGTCCTGAATATTGAATTAAACAAGTTTCAGCTTATTGTGAACTTATTTGTATATATCGGATTATAAACCAACAACAACTGTAAGATTCAGTTTTCGAGCCATCAAGTGCTACTTTGAGGAAGACTATTTGTGTATATTAGTAAACAGTAACATTTGTCACTCAATGTTAAAACTCAGAACTCTTCTTATGTGTTTTCTGTTCCTGTTTGTTTCTGCAGAACACCTGGAATATGAGCATGCTTCAAACCCAAGATTTAATGAAGTCAGCTCAGGCAGCGATGGAGAAGAAAAACCTCAAAGAAGTAACTTTCTCTAAGCTCTGAGAGTCTACACACCCTTAATTACAAATAACATCTTCTTCAATGAAAACCACCTGCTAAGTTTGGTTTGTTCATCTTAATCAACATGATTTTTACAGCTAAAGTGAAACTTGCTATTGCATATTTCAGTTCTGTTTTCACATTCAGTGCCTTAATGCTGGTTCATGTCAAATAATTAACTAACAAATCCTGTTAAACATGTTCAGTGCTGAATGCGGTAAAAACTAAATACCTTAAGATGAAATGGAGGTAAATGGTTTGACTTGCTTTTGTAGCCTATGATTTGTTTTCTGAATTATCAGTGACTTGTGTTCTGCATTACATGAAATGTTACAATTTGTATCAATATTTTTGTGATATTTTTGCATCTCTATAAAACAACTACTGCTAAAATAAGTGTATAATGTAGGACATAGTCAATATGGATGATTTGTGAAGAGAAACTAGTTTGGTCTTGAAATATGAACTTCGTCACAGCTTGGATATTGTATTTTTCTGCGCGTCCAGGTTTCAGGTGTTCATTATCACACTGTAAAGTTAAGTTAAGACAGTACTGTGGACATCTTATCATATTACTGGCTGCCCAGTTGGGTATAAAAACGGCTCACGTCTCGTATACACTGGAAACCATCATCCACAGCAAATTAGGTAGAATGATGTCTGTGATGAGTTGGGTTGCAGTGATTCTGCTTATTGACCTGGTTTGCTCCGGTAAGATTGAATAAGTTAATATAAAAGCATTAACTTCTAACTTAACTTTTTACCCTGAACTTCTAACTCAAATATGAAGTTAAAAAAGTAATTTATCTATTCATAGTCATGTTACTAGTTTGAGTTATTTCAGTGGGTCTCTTTGTTGTTTTTTCTCTTATTATTATTGATAATTTTCTCTTGAAGCAGTGTCATTTCTCCCTTATTTACACCTCCGTGATTAATTTATATAATTGAGAAGATGCTGTTTATAGAACTTTAGTCTGTTCAGAAATTTTAAATAAAACTATATTAAAATGTAACCTTTTTTTTCTTCTGAAGATCAGCCAATTCACATTCGTCATTATTATGATGGGATATATGGCATAATACTGAATTCTACTTACATTTTGCTTTGTATTGACATTTAGATATGCTTTTATTTCTAAAGTGCTATATGCATTTTATGAATGCAGAATTGGACTGTTCTGTTCTCACCTGCTCCTGACATGTTTAAACGAAACAGGTCCCCTTCATTGGGGATAGTATTATCATCTCCAGCATTTGACCACATTATTGCATTTTAAGTTTGTCAGTATGTTTACACTTATATTGTCTTCATCAAGCTCAGAGTCAGTAGGCTTTTCTGGAGTAAATCACTGTTCTGTTTCTTGAGTTATTAATGTTCTTTCAGTTATAGCGTGTTATGTGAAGGTACACCGAAGCTTTACCAGATTTGATCGATGGGGTTGAAATAATTTAGTGCTAAAGGGTTGAGTAATGAGATAAATATTAAAACTGTTCAGGCATGTTTCCTAAAAGTAGCTAATGCATCAACTAGAGCTGTAATTAAATAATAACTCAATTTGGGCTCCTACAAGTCCAGATAAGCTTTTATCTGTTCACATTAAGTTTAATGTGATTACCACAAATGAATTTTTTTTAAGTCTGTCTGTCTGTCTGTGTGTGTGTGTGTGTGTGTGTGTGGTAAATGTATAAGCATGATAAATAAACTATAAAACTAACAAGTGCTGCTAGTAAATATAAATCTAGTAAATCTAAAGTGAATCCTGTATGGAAAAAATGGCTGACAAAAAATGAAACATAAACGCTTCCTTCTGTTCCAACTGAAAGCATTCCCGCTTCAGATTATTACATTACCAAACACTCACACACTTTTGTTTTCATATATATAGATATATGGTATATTTTCTAGGTCAAATTCTATGGAGAATGAAGGACCATGTGCATAAAATCCAACAGGCCAGAATAAAACAGCGTGTGACACACACTTCTACTGTCATTCCCAAAAAAGGCACAATTCACCAACCCCTGAACCACTTTGATAGGAAAGATGACAAAACTTTCCCACAGGTACAAATTACAGACATGATCTTACACTTACACTCTTCTTTAAATGTGATATCATCAGGATGGCACAAGAACATGAAATGTCATTTTAAATAATGTGTTATTATAATAGCCTATTTTAAATAATTATGTGAAATAAATATAACAAATTATTTAATAATAATATTAATTACTATTATTTTAATTATATTAAAATTAACGATTTATCCTGTCAGTTATTTTGCTATCATCATTTATTCATTAGGCTATTATTTGATCTGCAGAAATTCTTTGTGAATGACGTTTATTGGCAGAGTTCTGATGGACCAGTCTTTCTCTACATAGGAGGAGAGGGCCTACTCTCTAAATTCAGTGTATTGTTCGGTTAGTACCAATTTTCCTTGTTTAAACCTGATCATTGATTCTCATCTGCTAAAAAAACGTGCCTCCTACACGTCACTACCGTGTCCTGCTGAAATGTTCACTGAGTGGCACCAAAAGCCAGTTTTATTTTCTTGAAAACATAACAGGTAGCATCCTCAGCACTCTTACAGGAATGTTCCTGGTTCACTAAAAGTTAAGCTCTATAAAAACATCTTTCACATATCAGTTACTGCACAAAATATTTTTGTAACATAATTTTTTTTCTATCAGCTGAAAGACTTCCAATCATGAGTCACATGGCATTCACTGGTTGCCTCAATAACTAGCATTTACATTTGTTAAAAAAAATAATAATTTAGCAGAGAGCTTTATCCAAAGCAATTGCTTACAAATGAGGAAAATCTCAATGGCAGCAGATTAT